TTTTTTTTTTTTTTAATTTTTTTTTTTCAACGTTTATTCACCTTTGGGACAGAGAGAGACAAAGCATGAACGGGGGAGGGGCAGAGAGAGAGGGAGACACAGAATCGGAAACAGGCTCCAGGCTCTGAGCCATCAGCCCAGAGCCCGACGCGGGGCTCGAACTCCTGGACCGCGAGATCATGACCTGGCTGAAGTCGGACGCTTAACCGACTGCGCCACCCAGGCGCCCCCCGCAGCGCCTATTTTATGACCTCTTCCTGTCCTGTTGGCCCGAATCTCTAGGTTGAACAGATGTAAGCGTGGAGTGCAGTTGTTTGGGTGATTGAGTCCTGCACTCCCTTCGCTAGGATTCGTTAGTCCTGGGCTTAGACTGATTCTCTTGCGTAGAGTTTTATTGCGAACTGAATACAGGCAAGCTCTTGGCTCCGCGCGCGTGTGTGGTATGAAGATGCGAGAAGGATGCCTGCTCATAGATTGCCGCTCCTTTTCTCTTGACACCCGATCGGGCACTGGTGGAAGCACTTGTGCCCAGGGCCTCGTATGATATTCTCAGCAACACTGTGAGACAGGGATTATTTTTATTTCTATTTTATGGGAAGTATGACTCCCGGGTGTGAGCTACCCCGCTTCTCTAATTGGCAGTGGATTTCAGAAGAGGATTCTCTGCTTCCGCCCTCCGGTGGCCTGAGAGGACTCACACTCCTCTACAAACAATGAGTCAGGGCACACTGTGGTAAATGCCACTGAAAGTGTAAATACAGGCCTGGGAAAACGGGGAGGGCGTGGATGGGCGCAAATGGGCACAGAGGGATCTTGGGTTGGGTATCGAACGTTGAAGCTGCAACTCTGTAAAGTTAATGCCGTTGCCGTTGGAGCCCAACAACGAATTTTATGTGGAGTCCTGTACCGCACGGCAGACCGTTAGTCACCTTGGAAAATGTTTTGTTATGTTATTTATTTATTTGAGAGAGACGGTGTGAGTGAGCAAAGGGCAGAGGGAGAGAACATCCCATGTGGGGCCCGGGCACGGCGAGATCATGACCTGAGCCAAAGTCGGATGCTCGACCGACTGAGCCACCCAGGCACCCACTGTTTTGTTATGTCTTAAGTTGTACCCTAGATGTCTGAGAGTCAGCGTGACTTAAGAAGTTCCCAGATGTTTACTGAGTACTTACTCGGGTTTGGCACTGTCCTGGGTGCTTGCAGTAAAGCCGTGAACACATCAGAATTTGCGCAGAGTAACATTCGAGTGGACAAAACAGGCTACAGACATGCATGCAGATGTGTAACATAATCTTGGGCATTGATAAGTGCTGTTTTTAAAAAAAAATTTTTTTTTTAATGTTTGTTTATTTTTGAGAGAGAAAGAGCGTAAGTGGGGGAGGATAGAGAGAGAGGGAGACACAGAATCCAAAGCAGCCCCTCCAGGCTCCGAGCTGTCAGTGCAGAGCCAGATGCGGGGCTCGAACCAGGAACAGTGAGATCATGACCTGATCATGACCCAGACGCCCCAAGTGCTGTTTGTTTTTTTAATTTTCAAATGTTTTATTTCTTTTTGAGAGAGAGAGCAAGCAAGCGAGAGTGGGAGACACAATTCGAAGCAGGCCTTCGAGAGCTGTCAGCACAGAGCCCGATGTGGGGCTCGAACCCACAAACCGTGGGATCATGACCTGAGGCGAAGTCAGATGTTTAACTGACTGAGCCCCTAAGCACCCTGTGATAAGTGCTGTTTGGATAAAAATAGAATAACGTTCTAGTGATGGGGGTGGAGCCTGGAACGGCATTAAAATAGGGGCGGAGGGACTACCTGTCTGAATTGGTAAACTTAGAAGTGAGTTACTTGAATGAGTTGTGGGCAGACATAAGGTTTAGAGGAAGAGTGTTCTAAGCAGAAGAAATGAAGAGTCCTGAGGCCCTGAGCTGCGTCTCTCCTTGGTTTCAAGGACCCGGCAGAAGAATTAAGTGACTGCAGCAGTGTCATGGTTGGGGAGTGTGGCAGCTGATGGCATGGGGTGATCCCCGCCAACCGTGGACACCATTTAGACTGAGCTCGAGTTCTACTGGTCGTCTTAAACCAGACACCAATGTGATGTGCTTTATCCTGTAGGCTAGAGGTTGGCACACATTTTCTGTGATGTGCCAGACAATCCCTAACGTAGGCTCTGCAGGCCGTAGTGTCTCTGTTGAGACTACAGCTCTGCCGTTGTGTCAAAGACAACGTGTACGTGAAGCAGTAAGACTGTGTTCCAATAAAACTGTGTTCACAGTAAGATTAAACTGTTCTAGTAAACTGTTTATTTACAGACACTGATAAGTGAATTTCATATAATTTTTAAGGGTCATGAGATGCCGTTATTCTTTTGATTTTTTTTTTTAAAACCTATTTTGCCTTGTGGGCTGTGCAAAAACAGGCAGTGGGTTGTGGCAGGCCGATGCCTCATGGGTCCCAGTAGGTGAGAAGTTATTTTGCAAGCTCAAAGAAGAACAACTTTGTAATTTGAATTAATAGCTATCAAAATTTAGTCAGTTAAGGGGGAATAGTAGTTGCCACTGATAGGGAAACCAGTGGGAGAGGCAGCTAGGAGTAATGATTTTGTTTCCCTGTTTTCAGGGAATGACGAGCAGCTGTGGTCAACTGATCCTTTGCTTTAGCTCTGACTTTGTTTAGGACGAAACTCCTCATCCTGGCTGATGCCTGGGAGCCTTGGCCAGTGACTATGGTTACTGTTTTCAAAGTATGATGATACAGTGTGTATTTTCTGCGTTTTCTTTCTTCAGATAAGTGGGGGGAGAAAGTACAAAGGAATGGAGCACTAAATGACTAAGGAGTGAATTTTTCAAATCTACGTATCTGCAGCTTGTTATTCTCACCTGCTTGTTATTGGAATGATCATGCTAGCAATAGAATTTTTTTTTTTAAATGTAATGTTTGTTTATTTTTGAGAGAGAGAGTGAGTGAGCAGGGGAGGAGCAGAGAGAGGGAGATGCAGAATCTGAAGCAGGCTCCAGGCCCTGAGCTGTCAGCACAGAGCCCATCATGGGGCTCAGGCTCATGAACCATGAGATCACTACCCGAGCCAAAGTTGGATGCTCAGCCGACTAAGCCACCCAGGCGCCCCTGGCAATAGAATTTTAATGTGTGCAGATGGGAGTTTGAGAAATGCAACAACACCAAATAAATGCCGGTTTCCTCTTAGTGCATAAAAATATAAAGACCAGGATAAAAGTTTCATGAAATCTCATCTAGAAGTCGTTTTCATGCACAGCAATGAACTTGTTTGAAAGCTTTTAAATGCATATACTTCTCTTCCTGGAAAAAGAAGTGAGAAAAGATGTGAAATATGTATGTAATGCAAAAACTTCTTTTGGGTGATAGACTTTGCAGCTAATGAATTAATTACTATGAACTGACCAACTTTAAACATGGTTGCTTTCGTGAATTCCAATTTAGCTCATCGAGTTCCAACTTTAAATTATCTAGTTATACAACATTAATAAAAAGTTAGATGCTCAAGTACTTTAAGGAAAAATTTTGATTAAGATGAAGATAATCTAGGAGATAGACAACTTAAGTTCCTTTTGGTAGCTTTGAATTGAGTTAAAAAACAGCTTTTAAAATGCTAGTTTCAGGTAAGGGTATAATTAACATCGTTTGTATAGACTTTTTGGAATAGAGTGGAGATGACTACTCATCAGTTTGTAGCTGGGGCATGCAACTTTGTTAGTACCGAGTCTGGTTGGAGTGGAGTAGTGTATGTCCACAATATTTGTATAGTGATTTCTGTTTATGAACCACTTGTCACTGTAGCTTTATGATACAGTCACATGGAAGTGGGGATACATTTTAAAACCCAGATACTCTTAAGGAGCAGGGATAGATGGGTTGTAATATGCTGTAATTATTTGAATTATTTTTCCCCCAAGGGGTAACGTTTTAGGGAAAAGTTTGTTTCAAATATTAACTTTTATGAAGGTAACTTTAAGAATCATTTGTTTATCACCTAGATTGATTTTGCTGACACAAAAGATAAAGTGCTGGTGTTTTTCAAGCTGCGACCTGAAGTAATTACTGATCAGAATCTACATAGTAACATTCTTGTTTCATCTATGTTAGAATCACCTATAAATTCTCTCTATCAAGCCGTGCGGCAAGTATTTGCACCAATGTTGTTAAAGGTAAGTAAAATAAAGTAGCTGTACGGTCATTTTTGTTTTTTGTTTTTGGTTTTTAACATAGGGGTTTGCATTAATGTCTCTATAAACACAGAGAAAAATATTATTTTATTTATTAATATCATTAGTGTTTTTGTTTTTGAAAACGTCTCATAAAAATTGAAAAAAATTTTAAAGTCAGCTTCGTTGACCAATAGAAGAATGGGAGAAAGGTATAAATGCAGTCCACACAGCTCTTATGTTGCTATACAGGAAATTACAAAGTTTTAACTGTTGAAAGGACTTTTTTTTCTCCCTTATGTGATGGAGGTAGTCAGGCTTTGAGTGGCATGGTGTATTTGGACTTATTTCTCTCAACAGTATTTTAAGGGGGCCAGTTTGATTGGGGAACTTGTGGTCAGTGTTTGCTCTTGTCTGTTTTTATTTAGGATCAGGAATGGAGCAGAGACCTTGATCCCAAACTTCAGAATCTTTTGAGTGAACTAGAAGCTGGGTTGGGCGTAGTTCTACGAAGATCAGACACTAACTTATCAAAATTGAAATTTAAGGAAGATGACACACGAGGTAGAGAACCATAACTTAAAGTCAAAATAGCTTTCTTACTAGTATGCTAGTAAATTAATGTATTTTTTCACAGACTTTTCTGAGCCTGAGCTTCCTTTAAATGAGTAGATTTACAAGGATTTTGAGAAGAGGAAAGTGCAATCTTTAACAATGTGCAAGTCACGGCAAGAGAAAATGCAGTTGCTTCTCACAATTTGCGGTAGTTACGTTCTGTAAAGTCACTGTGAACACTGCATCGGTAACGACTGAACAGAGCTCCTCGGGCGAAAACAGGATTAGGTTCCTGTGAGCCTCTGGTCATAACATTTTCTACTCAACATAGAACCATAGTTTACGTGTGTTTCTGCTTAAAGACACTGTTATTAATATAGATTGGTGATTACCCTTGAGCTCACTGCCAACAGCCCTGTAACTCGTGCCTGAGTGAAGCTTCTCTAACACAAGTATTTTCTCAGGAAGTCACATCGCAGTGTTCTTGGCCTTGGTAACACTAGGCTGTACTTCGATCCTGTGCTCGGGGGCCATCTTAAACAGAGCACTCACCAATAAAAAGCCCCCCAAATGAGAAAAACATGCAGCTGGATAGGTTGCAAAAAGGAGAATTGTTTACAGCAGGAGATCTGAAACAGGCAGCGTGGCTTTGTAGAGCCTCAGCTGGGAACGTATGCGTGAGGTGACTTGAATTGTTTGTTGCTCTGCACATGTCTGTGAGCGGTCACAAAAACACCGCAGGCTTTGATTTCAGATTACAAGTAAATGTTAGGAAATGGATGAGTTCATAAATCCGGCATCCGTGAATACATAGGATTGACCCCTAATGGTCTACTTGGCAAAGATACTTGATTTTAATTTTAAAAGTGTATTTTATCTGAAGCTAGTTATAATTTTATTGTACTTGTAGATGATATTATTTATATGAACAGTTCACATGAAATGCATGACATACACAAATCCTATTTTACAGTACTGGATACAGTTTTACACTCTGCTTGAGCAGTAAATCAGATACTTTTTGAATCCTATAGGCCTAGAATAGTGCACATATTTGCAGTGTGTGATTAAGCAACTAGAAATCGTCCAGTTCTTTGGGAAATATAAAAGCAAATTGAAAAGTAAGATTATTTTTATTTATTTATATTTTGACATTAAATTACAAGTGTTTATTGATTAAATTGTAATCATTTCTAATTTGGATGGTGTTCACTGAGATGCACGGTATGCACAGTGACCGAATGACGACACATGTGAACTACAGTGGGTCGTGTCTGTAAGTCATTAAGGCCACTTCCTTTGAGTAACTAGAAGAAATGAATCCAAACTTAAAATTAGGGCAAGAGCAAAAGTAAATGAATCGACTTTTTGTCATTCTCATTTTTTCTCCTGGCTGTCATGACATTTATGTTTGTGAGGGAACTTGTAGGGTATTTGCATCAAGAAGTAACCCGTCGACCTGGTAGGAAAAGGAGGCGAAAGTGATGTGACAGGTCTTAGAATTGTAGCATTTGCTACAAAGGCTTCGGAAAGCCGTGTGCCGCAGAAGCAAGTTTGCTAGTATTAGATGCAGACCGACAGCCTGCATGTGGATGGTTGACAAACACATACGGGAAACATACTGAGCACCAAACCTGCAAAGCATAAATTTGATGCTGTTAATTGTTGTTAGTGCATTTAGGTAAGAACTGTCTGTTGACAGAAATCATAAAACTTTATGTACATCTTCGAGAGTACAGGATAGGCGCGTAATCAGCAAATGAACCAGATAATTTTCTGGCTTTTCATTCTCAATGGGTATTTCTTTTTTTCCCTTTATACCTTTTCAGGTATTCTTACACCAAGTGATGAGTTCCAGTTCTGGGTGGAAGAAGCTCATCGTGGAAGTAAACAGATTAGCAGAGAGAGAGCTGGCTATTTTAAGGAGCTGTTTGAAACCATCGCAAGAGTACGTGGTTCCTACACGGTCATATGCCAGGCTTCAGATGGAGGTGCTTAGGGCCCAGCTGCATCAGAGTTCCCTCTGTTTTACAGCTGTTACTTGATGGTTATGAACGAAGTACATCCTTCATGTGTAACAGGGTTTTCTGAAGGTGTGCATGTAACGTGGGTACAACTTAGAAACGAAAACTTGTACGAAAGGTAGATTCTAATCTCTAGTACATATTTTTCTCAAAAACGTCATTACTTTTCTGCAGGTAGACAGGAAAAGCAAAGCCTGAAACACTAGCAGACGTTAATCTACGTGGAGGCAGTGGTCCTTTTGAAAGAATGTTCGCTTTATTCAAATTAGCGTTTTGAAGTAATTTGAAGTATGAAAAGTCTTAGTTTTATACTCGATTGATTATTCTTTGAAATATTCAGAGGTTGCATAAGTGAAGATTCTTTTCAAAATAAATGCCTAGTAATTTTCTCTTTATTCCCAAGATTGCTTCAATAATACCATTTTAGTGAAGTGTTTGAAATGGTTTTAAGCTCTTTTTGTGATAATGATGGAATATAAAATAAGAAATCTTGAACTCTAATTGTATTACTGGTAATGTGCAGCACAGTGACTGAATGACGACACGTGTGAACTACAGTGGGTCGTGTCCGTAAGTCATTAAGGCCACTTCCTTTGAATAACTAGGAGAAATGAATCCAAACTTAAAATTAGGGCAAGAGCAAAAGTAAATGAATCGACTTTTTGTCATTCTCATTTTTTCTCCTGGCTGTCATGGCATTTATGTTTGCGAGGGAACTTGTAGGGTATTTGCATCAAGAAGTAACCCGTCGACCTGGTAGGAAAAGGAGGCGAAAGTGATGTGACAGGTCTTAGAATTGTAGCAGTTGAAAAGTCTGGGAACATGTTGACTGGATTGCCTAAGGTACAGTTACCATTACGTTTAAAAATGAATGCCTTTTGGTTTTAGGAGTTCTATAACTTGGACAGTCTATCCTTACTGGAAGTGGTTGACTTGGTGGAGACCACCCGGGATGTTGTAGATGATGTGTGGAGACAAACAGAGCACGATCACTTTCCTGAGTCACGGATGTTACATCTCTTAGATGTCATAGGTACTGGTAAAGAAGTAAACTTGTGGAACTTTGGAAGCCTGCCTTATTATCTTCTAGTTTTTCTTTCAAGTTCTTACTGAAAGTGCTCCTTAATGTAATAATTGTTGCTTAGGGTAACTTTTAGAGCAAATCATATAGGATTATTTAAATGGAAATTTGTATATAGTTGGTTAATTTAAATAATATGTGTCAAATTCTTTGACCATGAATACAAGTAAATTTACATAGATTTGTAGTCCCTACACGTGTATTAATTTAAGCTTTATTTTGTAATGATCTCCAAAGTCTTAAAGGGTATTGGTTTGTCAGTATTCAAAGTGCATATGCTTTTTGACCTAGAGAATACCATTGGCATTCTTATCCTCAGGAAATATTACACAAGCACATCGAGGTATATGGGCAGGGACATGTACTGTGGCATCATTTGTAGGAGTACAGAAACATTGTAGGAGTAGAAACAAATAGCATTCGAGAATTGGTTGTATAATGCTACATCCACATGGTAGGCCCTGCAACCTTTTGAAAAAATAATATGTATTTCTGCGCTTGAAAGGTGCACATGGTATATTGAAAGATGCGAAAATAAAAACAAACGTGTGTGTGCATGCATGTCTTGAAAGGTATTTGTTTTTGATAATCTAAGGATGTGGATGTGGTATTTCATAGATCCTTAGTTTGCTAATTTGTATTATTTTAAACTTTGTCATAAGCATGTGTTCTATAATTATTTGTTAAAAAGACATTTCCATTAAAAATTTTCTTTCTTGGGGCACTTGAGTGGCTCAGTCGGTTAAGCGTCCGACTTTGGCTCAGGTCATGATCTCACAGCTCGTGAGTTTGAGGCCTGTGTAGGGCTCTGTGCTGACAGCTCGGAGCCTGGAGCCTGCTTCTGATT